CGCCAGTTTTCCTCTGGGGTCTTTGGCAGACTTAATCCACTCCAACGGTCTATGGTCTGTTTCGACGTGAAATCGCTGACCCAGGAGATATGGTCGCCATTTATCTAACGCCCAGACAATTGCGAGACATTCTTTCTCTATGGTTGAGTATCTGCGTTCCGCAGGCGTCAAAGTTCGGCCGGCATATTCGATCGTCCCATGGTTTTGTTTCAACACCGCACCGATCCCGACATCGCTGGCGTCAGTGGCTACCGTGAACATCTCACCAGCGATGGGCAATTTCAGGGTCAACTCCTGCCTTCCCATTTCCTGTAGAATCTGATCAAAGGCTCGTTGAGCTTCTGCATTCCACGTGAATTTCCTATCTTGTTTCAACAGCTCGTACAAGGGTGAGGCCAATGTGTTAAAATCCTTGACGAATTTGCTGTAGTACCCGGCGCGGCCCAGGAATGTACGGAGAGTGCGTTTCGAGGTGGGAAGTGGGCTGCCTTGTATCGTCATTATCTTCTCAGGTAGCGGTTTCAGTTCGCCTTGTCCCACTTTATGACCCAGTAAGGTGACACAGGTCTTTCCGATCTGGGACTTTGGTCCATTTATACGAAGTCCCGACTGCTGAATGCGTTCCAGAACTGCCGCGAGATGATGGATATGTTCCGCTTCTGATTGGCTATACACCACGATATCATCCCCGTACACCACCACGTTTTCCAATTCACTCAGCAATCGCAGCATGAGACGTCGGAAGGTAAACGGGGCTCCTGATAATCCAAAGGGCATCCTCTTAAACTGATACTGTTTCTCACCAACGGTAAACGCCGTCTTCTCTCGATCTTCCTGTTTTATTGCCAGTTGCCAGTATCCTGATCTCAAGTCCAGGACCGTGAATATCCTCGACTGCTGCAGCCGATCAAAAATATCAGCAACTGATGGAACTGGAACGAAACGAGTCAAGGAAATTTCATTCAGTCTTCGGAAGTCGACACAGAATCGGTACTTCCCATTCGGCTTCTTCACTAAGACCACAGGAGAGTTGTACGGGCTATGTGCCTCCTCAATCACGCCCGCGTCCAGCATTTCTTGCACTTGCCTGTTCACTTCAGCCTCCAGGTGGATTGGTATCCTTCGAGGTCCATGGGGCCGATACGGTTGGCGAGTTAGCGGGATGGTATGCTCGATCCAATCGCAAAACCCATATTGACTGCTGTCATCCGTAAACAAGGGTTGGTATTTGTTAATCAGCGACTGCAATGATGGGCTCAAATGTAACACAGCAACGACCGACTGCGAAGATCGCATTTCTCCACGATTAATAAGTGGTAGTGACCCGCATTCCATTAGCAACTTCCCACGCTTTAGATCAATGACAGCTTTATTGAGCTCCAGGAAATCTGCTCCCAATATGGTTTGTTTCGCATCTGGTGAAACGAGAAAGGAGTGTGTTCGCTTTCGTCCCCCGATTCCTACGGTGTGTTCGGCTATACCATCAATTCCCACTGAATGACCGCCAACCGCTCTTACGATCGTGCAGCACGACTGCAGCTTTTCACCTTGTCGATGGTTGATTAGTGACACCGCGGCACCCGTATCGATCAGACACCTTTCCATCGTTCCGTCTACTTCCACCATTGCTTCAACCGCACTCCTGCTCAACGCCCCAAGTACACAATCTTTGATTCGCAAAGAAAAATAAGGTTGCACACGCTTATTCGACTCCCGAGTAACACCACGCCTCTGCGGACATTGTCTTTTCCAGTGCCCCGGCTTCCCGCAGATGAAGCAACATCCCTTTGTGCGCACCCGATAACGCTGAACGCGAAGCCCATTGATGTCTTCCGTAAGCTGCTCCATCATCCGTTCCAATTTGTCCATCCGTTCCACATTTTCACGTGGCTCTTCCTTCAGCGCAGCTAGTGGTGCGTCGCCCAGGTCTCGAGTAACTTGCGCCAGCTCCTCCAATTGCATCTTCCGAGTGGCATTTGCAATCCGAACGCGCTCCGCGGTTGGCTGTGGGAGGCCGGCCAAAAACTGATCCACCAGCAACTGCGTCCTTGACGGCCCATCCAACCCCGGCAAGGCGCGGTCCAACAAGCTCCTGAGGTGCACCGCAAACACGAGGGGATCCGTCCCCGCACCAAGCCGCGACGCCTTGAACCGTCGCATCGCCTCCTGGCGGTCCGCTGGCGTGTCCAGGCCAGAGAGCAACGCTTCCTTCGCGGCGGTCCACTCCAACTTGACCGGACCTCTTCGCGCCGCCTCCAGAACCGCCTTCGCCCTGCCCTTGAGGAGACTCCGCAGGGCCGCCATCTTCGCCCGGTCCGTCTTCAGTCCTACCGCCTCTGCCACCTCCTCGAAATCCTCCAAAAACACCTTCACATCCCCGTCTTCAAATGGCTCCGGCCAGGGGATCTTCATGGGTTTTGAGGTCACGGCACCAAATGTAAGAACCCGTGGCATGCGGTAATTGTTTATTACTAAAGTGGCTTATACTAGGTGTGTTCGTCCATACATTGGATGCGTCCGCTCATCTGCGTGATTTCCATACAGTTACTTTGGAGGCATCCGCTCATCCGCGTGATTTCCATAGAGTGTTTCCCAACTGGTGCTCGTCTCTGTGTTTACTCCTCGTGCACATGGAACTGGAATCCTGAGGTCGTCTTCAACTTTGGGGAAGTCGGCAAGGCTCGCTGTTGGTGTGTCAGCTTGCATCACACTACTTATATCCGGTTCAGCACACTTAAAACGCCACTTTGTTGGTTGTAAGAAGCTTACAATCAAATTGCCTTCTTCAGGGATAACTTCAAAGCGTATAAATTAACTAGTTTAAGCACGATGGACCCTCGGAATGATACTTTTCATGCTAGAAAAGCTTACTTTCTGATAACACGACTATACTGCAAAATCCAGCACTAGCGGGTTAAGAGTAATTTCATGTGCAAAATTTAGTTATGCCTGTTGACAAACTTTGATAAAGTGAGGGATTTGAGATCCTCAATTCATCATTGGTTATCGAAGATCTTAACCCAAAAATTTCTCAATCTCGGGGCAGCAGTTCCAAGCAGTCTATCAGATGCGCACATGCTATCATCTTAGAGGAGATTTCCAGTTGCTAAATGGAGCGTTTATCTTAATACCATTACTCTTTCGACGCATGAAGGCGGTTACGCAGTACATTTGAATACGTACATCTTCAGCACAATCTTTCAGGTTTCTTCACGTTGAACTAAATTTACTGAAAACGTTGTGAATTGACACAAAAGCAAAAACCGTTTTATAGGTGTGGTCTATTGTTTACTTTCGTTTTATACTGTCATTTAACGCAAATTCACGATTTTTCAATCAAATTATCGATAATTCTGGAATGAATTTAGTAGAATGAACAACGCACAAGACAAAATCCTTCAGAATACTGAATACTGAAAAATACATTGCTGCCCATCATATATAATCTCGGGCACGCACACGGAATAACGTTATCTATTACTGTGCATTGCTAAGGCAGTTCAGCTGCCCGGCATCCCGCCCAGGTGCGATGCGCTCTCGAGATTTGTACTTCACAAAATGAGTCATCTAGGGATATCTTGAATTCCGGCACCGAGATTTCTTCGACCAGCTCAATGCTCATAAATTGGCTATTTCAGGCACGATGGACCATCTGAATGATGCCTGCCATCCTAACACATCTGCAAGTCGGATAACCTTACTTTAGTGCAATTTCTATTAGCGGCGACTTAAAGAAGTTGCGTGTGCCAAATTTCACTAGTTTTTCCTAGAATGCTGTGAATTGACTACGAAGCGGACACTGTGTCTTTCTCTGACAAACGGTTCCCTGATTTTCTCGAAATATAGAAGACAAGCTATCCGTTTCAGATCTAGGAACGCAAGTTTGTAGCAGTGCTTACAAGGGTTTCTTGGCACGCGCACGTTTAGTAGTGACCTCATCATAGAGAAATCACTCAGTTGTACCCTCTGGGGCGTCATTAGGAGATCCACTCGAAATCAGCATGCTAAAGGGACGAAAAACAAACAAGTACCTCAACGATCAATAGCATGCAATCTTTTCATTTGTCCGGATTTACTGAGATGCGACAATTCATACCATTCTTCAGCTAATTCCTTATTGCCACTCTCAGTCAGTAGGCTTAGGTTAGGCTGGGTAAGCACCCAGCAGGAGTCTGCTGGGAGGCGCACCACTGAGGAGACCCAGAAGGTCGGAACCTCGGCTTCTGGTGCTTTTCTAGCCTAGCCTAAGCCTACTGATTGAGAGTGGCAATCATGGATTTTGTCTAAGACTTGGCAATTGGACGCGAGGTCACAGCTGGAAGCTGTTAAAGCCGAGGAGGTTCAGTCCGTTCAGATGTTGCTCTTTCTACTCGAGTAACTAATGACTGGAATCGATTGCCGGACCCGATTGTCAATGCGCAGTCAGAAGCGAATTTCAAACGTCTGCTAGACATCTTCCTACTGAGTACTCCAGGATCCTACAGGACCGGCACTACATCCTGAGCCATGCGACACTTACTACGCCTGCAATCCTTGGAAGATCTGGTAGTGAAGGATCTAACATGGGACCTCCTTTCTGCTTTCTACCACTCAATGAACTCAAGGAATTATACAAAATTCCTCACTATTCATCAGTACACATCATTGCCTAACTGATCAGATGCTCTATTGCTTAAATAGTAGAACTTGTGCATAATTATTCATACAAGAAAACAAAACCATTTGCGTATTGCTTTGCCCCGGTGAAAACAACTCCCCGTGATTTCGCACGGAAGTACTATTTATCTTTTCTTTTGTTTATTAACCGCCGTATTACTCTAAACTAGGAGGTATGCCACATTTGAACTTTGTTATTAGGTCCATTGCTTAAGAAATGGAATACGTCGTATCACTTGGATAATGTATACATATGATTAAGAGACAACTTGTATTTTAGCAATTATTACCTGTATGTAGTAGCTTAGTGGTCATATACAATGTGTCGGTCATCAAGGACTTACCTAGTATCCCAAGACGGTAGTTGAGAGTTATGCAAACAGTTCCGCTGAAGCCGGCCAGCACACTCAAGTCGTAAGCATTCCCTGTGCCGTACTCATAAGATTCACCATGGACGAATAGCAGAACTGGTCTTCGATGTGGACGATTGAAGGCGGTACCTATGCGAAGAGACAGCAATTGACACTGAGACGCAGGTGACACCTGTGCACCGATATTCTTTAAGTATACTACTGCTTATTATCAAGTAGCTTAAGATTTTTTGCTAAAGCTTATGATCAGAAAGAGAAACCTGCTCGCTATGGTTTATTACTCATGTGATGGCTTGTCACATCAACTTGTTACCCGCACACGTTTATGTGGAACGCACAGGGTAACGGTTTACCAAGGTAAATGCCTGAAAGATGTGCTGCCTTCACTGAAGAGCCATGCCGGATTTTTTTCGCGACAGCTGTTGACGCCTGACCGTCACATTGTTGTGCATACGTTGGAATGTCATACCCATCCCATACGGGGCTTCTGCACTCTAACTGGTCCACACTGTTGGATATGACCATGAGTCTCGTGTCCATCAGAGACACAAGGCTACCGCGTACGTACTATCTCAGTCGCCACTATTTACTTGCTGGAGTTTGGACGTCATAGTTTAGTAGCGTGGAAGGTAACGATCACGCGGAAAACTGGAACGCCACAAGAACGAGTGAGGATAGAAACAGGTATAGGTGTAATGGGCGAGAGGATACGGTGCAACTCAAGCCTCACTAGAAGAACGGAGAGCGGATCGTGAGCGTCGATGGACAACGTGTCTGAGCAAAGGCGAAGAGAGAGCTGCTTGTCGAAAGGGCAGTAAATCAGACAGAAAGGTTTTTGTTGATGCCGAATAACACAACCACTTTCAAGTAAATCAAAAGCCTTACAACAATGGATATATTTGGGTGTTGCTCTTCCCAACCCTGGCACTCCATGACCGCGGTTTCGTCTTGGTTTAGACTCGTTAGCCTTACAACTCCTGGCTAGTCAGAATTTGAGTTACGGAAGCGAAGATACGGCGTCATACAGACAACCAAACACCCCAAATTTTGGGAGAACCGAAGTAAAAATGTGACATGTAGTAATTCCACATGTATGCGGCGTTGTGGGATGGAAAAAGGACGCATGTATGCGCACGTACGTGCCAGTTTGGTTAACTGTGACCGCGTGCAATAAAAATTTGCTTGCTTGTCTCTTCGTCCTTTCTACTACCGACTTAGATTTACCAATTGACGCGCGGATTTTTGGAGTACCGTACTGGATTTCACTTTTATTCGGAATTACTCTGTCGTACGTGATGTTTCTGTGTGAATCGTGTATCAATCGCTTTCTTTTGGTATATTGTTTCAATCTGTGCAGATTTGATGAATGTTCTTTGGCTAATTTCGGAGTTCCCAAAGATGGCCCAACTGTCGTCTGTGTCCGCCATCTTGGTTTTGTTCTAGGAACATCACCCATCATGACCACCACACCGGTAACCCGAAACGAAGTATTTTGTGCTAAGCAAACTTGTGTTAAGGTAGTAAAAGAAGGGTTGACTTGTACAAATTAACAATACCGGTACCATTCGAAATGCATCAACGTCTGTTGAACCGACATAAAGAAATACAATACGCCGGGTCCACTTTGGTTCTGTCCGAAGTGCACGACGGTTCCACTAGTAAAATATGCACTAGCATTGACATAAAAGTACTACAGTCTGGTCGCCGAAACTGAACATCGTTTGAATGCAAAAACTGCTTCGCTCGAAGCGACAATAGCACTTCTTGCATATCATCTGTCTCCCCAAATTGCTGCCACGAAACCAAGGAAAAGGGCCAGCAGTGCACACGACCGCGCAGTATTAGAAACTTCGGGAACCACTTACCAAGTCGTCACCGTGACCGATAGAAGCATGCCTAGTCCAGCCGCCCACATCCTCTTAGCCAATGTAACGACTGAAGTAACATCGGTAACACCCACCCTTCCGAGTGACCAACGAAATCCAAGGCACTCTGAAGACCGATCTACCAATGCAACTATTGCTGCTCTGTATAATCGACGTGCGACCTCAAAAGCCTAACCCAGTACAGCCACAAAACTGATGAAGGACTATGTTCAATCTGCAGAGACGTCAGCAAAGCCCTCGATAACCGTGCTTCCCACATCGCAAAAGACCAGACGGAACTACGGTGCCTTGACACCTATATGCATCAACGTTCCTGAGTTAAAGCAAAATCCTTAAGGGGTAAATCGCCGGAAGATTTAAAGCAATGAAATTTCTGTTGCGATGAAATCGGACTTCAAGTCAGTCCGACGAAAAAATGCGCATCAATAGACATCCAACCCCGAATAATTAAGGGGAGCCCCGGTTAATAAGAGTAACATTGGAATCAACAGATTATGTCGAGAAGGTGCTTTTATCGGCAGACTGCCTGCAGGCTGAGAACAGTAGAATACGCATATTTCCGGATGTTCCATGGAACGAAACCCAGCAGGACAAAAATAATTCAAATGACCACCACATGGAGAGTAACAAAAATATTATTTTAGTTCGTGGCGTACCTGAGATACCGACAACCAGCAATGATGAAACCCACGCTCATTACTTAGAAGCATGGCGTTATATCTGTGAACCTTTCTGAGAACGCGACGTCGTACTTCAGTTGATCACACGGTTACACGTGTCGCCAAACTACAGAAGCGGTGGTTCGAGGATACTGAAACTAACGGTGCAGTCAAAACAGATGCCCACGAAATTAATCAGTATCTGGCGGATACAACACAACTTCTTTCGGAAGTACGACTGAATACAACAGCTAGTGAGTCGCAGCCACTCGCTGCTCTAGCGGAAACGACATACACGCTACTCAATACAACCACAACAGCGATTCAGAAACCTGTGCGCTAGACCCATAGCTATCGAGAAGGCTGCCGATGGACTACATACCGCAGGTGCAATTGAGATCAAAAACAGATTGCATTCCTATCGATACTTGGCGACTCACCCATAAAAGGCTTAGGTGCCGGCCTCTCATTGGTCGGTACAAATCCACGTCATTCATGTGCTCCTCGTCAACGACTTTTGACAATCGCGAAGGTTTCTTGTATGTACACGCACGCTCAAGACTTACTGAGTAAACTTTCCGAGATGCGGCTGCGTCAAGGATCAAAAGCCTGCGACATTATCGCTAGTACGGTGACTTGGTTACGCCCTAACATAAGTGACATGGAGATCGCACTACCAGGGATGTCCATTATTCGGCACGACCGACCCAGCAAAGATGGAGAGGTGGCTCAGTACTTCCGCAATGACCTCCAATGTGAGCTCATAGAAAATCCGGTCAGCGCGGTAGAACAATCCCTTCATTGCCGCCTACGTTTAAAGTCAACGACACTTGCTTAGTGGCGGTCATCTACCGCAATCCTTCCTCCACGCCCAAGGTGGACTTCTATCTGGCATCCGCAAGGAGGGTGATAAACACAACTTGCAGTCACATACTCAATACGGGCGATTTAGACGTCCACGCTCTGGAATCCCAAGCAGCTCCCGGGGAACAGTTTAAGGTCGGTCTAAAAGAGTTTGTTTATGGACACATCAACACTCCCAACGGATTCCGAAAAAGGTAAGCATTTGGTACTGGATTGGATATCAACCAACGAAGAATTAATGGTCGAGAAGGTGATCGCGACGTCCCCTTAGGCCGCAGCAATCATGTAGTCCTACTCTTCGAATAGATTTGCTATGCAAAATATCCCGTGGAAACTGTCGATACAACGAAAACGACATTTTAGCTCGACTAGGTGAGACAGACAACTGGACATTTTCTGGCAGACGTGACACCAGCTAGTGCATGGGAACTCTCCGGCAGCTGGTTTAACTATCTGGTTGCCGAAGCGTCAGCGACTGAGACTTTCCGCTCGAGAAATGTGGTCTCGTTTTTGTGAACCAGGACACGAAGTGTATGGCGGTGCAAAACTCAGCCTGACATATCTATCAACTCTCCCAGAGTACCGATAACTGCATGACCTGTGCAACCCAAGGTAACCACTGTACTCAGCTTGTTCGCGAGGATAGAATGGCGTATCAGCAGAAGTTAGCAGTGCATATGGCATCAAATCTCAAGCTTCTGTGTCCACATGTCAACAGTCTGCGGAAGGTGAAACGGGGAATTCCTCCTCTTCAAACAGCGGACGGACCCACACGGACACCGAAGGAGGTGGAAAATACCCTGCGCCCTTCAATACGCTGCAACATTTCAATGCGATCACTTGCCATCTAACCCTATGACGATGGCTGTTTTACCCCCAAAACCCACTCAAATATCGTTCATAGCAGAAGCTGTACTAAAATTGCTGTTGTGTATGCGCAAGCTCAGCTCTCCTGGAGTTGATAATCTACACACGAAATCTCTAGCGGTAGTAGGAGAGAGCTTAGCTGAGCCTTTGTCTCGATTCTTCAAGTACTGTTCTGAAGTAAGCTACGTAGCTGACATGTGGAAACACAGGATGATTACTCCTGTTCATATGGGAGGCAGTCGTTATAATCCAGTCCCATATTCTTACTACTGGCTTTTTCAATGGTCATGGTAATTATTATTGCTGATAAGCTAACGGCCTAAATGGAAGAATCTAGCTGCATCGCACCGCAGTAGCATGGCTTCCGAGGAAATCGATCTATACTACCAATCTACTACTAGCACGACCCAGCTGGACGGAAGCAGTAAACTCTGGCACAGGAGTTGATTTATTCTTTCTTGACTTCTCATAGGCGTTCGATCGATTAGACCATAACATTCTGCTCTTCGAAATTCAGAACTGGTATTGGTGATCCTTCCCTAGAATGGATCAAAAGCTGTTTTCTGCCTCACCGCCTGGAAGTACGAGTGCGTGAATCACTGTCAAATCGCATCCGAGTTGATTGCGGAGTACCACAAGGGTCCGCACTGGGACCGCGATTATTTTTGACGTATATTAACGATATCACAGACCTCATAAGCTAGAACTGCCTGCATTATGCCGATGAAATCAAGGTGTGGAGGGCGATAAATACACCAGATGGTATCACAATTCTTCAAGCTGATCTGGATAGAGTACACGTATGATCAATCCAGAATTTGCTTCGATTCAATGTAAACATATGAAGGGTGCTGGACCTGCGGCATAAGTTGGTGTACTCCTACCAACTAGGCAACCAGGAGCTTCAAACTTCTTCGGGAGAGAAGGATCTGGGAGTTCTGGTTAAGCTCGACCTTGAATGTTCGAAGCAGGCTGAAACCGCATCTAGGAGGGGCATACAACATCTGGGCCTCCTGAAGCGTGCATTCCGACGATTCGACGCTTCGATTTTTCCACAACTTCTCGGCTCATACATACGGCCACATGGGGAATACGCAATACAGGTCTGGCAGCCATGGCTGAGGAGAGACATCACCACCCTGAAGATACTCAAGCGCCGGACAACCAAAAAGGCCAACGGTCTACAAAATTTGCTGTGTGAAGGGGGCATACAAGTGCTCGTGGTCTACGGCGGACAGTATCGGCGATTGCGCAGCGACCACAT